CTCACAAAATTAAGGGGGAAAGATATATAATAGTGTCTTTATGAACTCTAGTGGCCTAGTCCATAGGGAGCTATGCTACTAACCCAAAGTGGCACCTCTCTGGCAGTTCAAATCTACCAGTGGTACAACAGGAGAATAATAGGGAATCTCTCCTACTGCAATTTATGGCTTCTAGAAACCTGTTGGCTTAGTGGTAAAACCTTGCACTGCAATCCCAAAGGTACACGGTTCAAATCCATCAGCTGCTTCATGGAAGAAAGATGGGCAATCTCCTCCCCTGTGTGATTAACTGACTCTGAAAGCCTACTGGAGGATCAGCTTTGAATCAGTCTGGATTTGAAGGCAATGAGATATAGATAGATAGCCACAGATATAAAGATAGCTGTATAACCTCCACTATCACAATCATTTTGATTTGCAAGTGATATTTAAGGAAAAAATGGAAAATACAACTTTCATTATTTGTAAAAATTCCAAGTATAGAATTGCTTTAATTGTTTACAGTAATGAATATAGAAAACTTAAAGAAATATCACAAACATTGTGAGATTTAAGTAAAATTGTAACTACAATTTCTTGAACTTGCATTAATAAGTAGTATACACACTGAAATCAGTAAGGAAAAAGCAAGTCCTCCAGAGTAGTTTCTTAGTGAGCTCCCAAAAATTATCCTAAACAATCATGTGGCTTCTAAACTTGGCACAGAGAAAAAGACGTGACAGATTTTCATATCTCTAATTAAAACCTCTGTAAAAGTCTCCTCTTTTTCACACTATTCTTTCATTCTTCATAGTCATATTCTAACATTAGTCTTTAGGAATAAGATTGGAACAGTAATTTTAAAATACTTACTGTCTTGTTTCGTAATCTAATTATGTCTGAGACAGAACCGGCTCCACAGTACTCCATAACAATCCAGAGGTCTGTATTCTTAAAGTAACTGCCATAGTACTTTACAACATATGGGCTAAAAGAAAATGCAAACATAATTTCATTTAGTTAATTCACAAATCATTTTCTTCTGAACCCCAATAGATTATATTCAACTTTTCATAATGTTTCAATAAGTAAACTTAGTAAGTATCTATTACTGATCGAATTGTACATACACAGGGCTCACCAAATATTAGGCATGATAATGTAGGTTCAATTTTTAGGAGTGATTCTCAAGAAAACTGAGGTTCATGAGGCACAGAGTTTACTACTTAATATAAGGAAAAATGAAACCTTTTTTAACTAATGCATTTTAAATATAAGTCTTGTAAAAGAGTTTTCATTCATTTGTTGTTGTTATGTGCCATCGAGTCGTTTGCGACTCATAGAGACCCTATGTACAACAGCCCTAAACCCTGCTCTATCCTGTGCCAATCGCATTGCCTCTGACACACCCATCCCGATTACCCTAGTCACTGAATCAATCCACCTCATAGAGGGTCTTTTCCTCCTGCGCCGTCCCTCTACTCTACCCAGCATGATGTCCCTCTCCAAAGACCTGTCTCTCCTTGCAACATGCCCAAAATATGTCAGACGAAGCCCCAGAATCCTTGCCTCCAAGGAGTAGCCTGGTTTAACCCTTTCTAGGATGAATCTGTTTTCTTGGCAGTCCATGGTACATTCAATACTCTTCTCCAGCACCATAGCTAAAAGGCGTCAATTCTCCTTCTGTCCTCCCTAGTCATTGTCCAGTTCTCTGATGCATAACAAGTGATTGCAAAGACCATGGCCTGTATCAAGCACACCTGATTATACATTGAAAGCTTTTATTTCAATCATGCCCAAATTTTTCTTTCTATTCTCTTTATTTTGAGCTCGGAAAATTTGAGAGAGAAAACAGTAATTCTTTAAATTTGGTAATTAAAATTATTACCTATTTAAATTGGTTCTAAAATGACATTTACTATCCTCCAAAGCAGCATTGCTGTTGTTTTTGGTGTTAGGTGCTGCAGCGCACATTGACACTTTGCATAATCCTATGCCCCCTCACCATCCCTTTTCTCAAGTCCACTGGTCCTCCTCACCTTCTCTGACCATCTACTTTTCTGAGCATAATGTTCTTCTCCAGGGACTGACTCTTCTTGAGAATGTGCCCAAAGTATGTGACACAAATCTTATGATCCTTGTCCCTAAAGACCACTCTCTCTGGCTGTACTTCTTTCAAAACGACAGGTTTTGTTTGTTCTTTTGGCAAACCATGGTATATTCAATATTCTTCACAAAAACTACAATTCAGAAGTACTGATTCTTCATCAATCCTCCTTAGTCATCATATAACTTCCACATGCACAATACTTGTGTCAGGCAAACCTTAGTCTTTAAACTGGCATCCTTGTTCTTTAAAGAGATGCTTGAAAATGGATTATACCTAATAATGTCTTTTGATTTCTTGACTGCTACCTCCACAAATATTTACCTAGGAACCAAATAAAAGTAAAACAATGATAGCTTCCATTTTTTTCTCCATGTATCATACTGCTGCCTACTGGTCCCATTGCAAAGATTTTTATTTTCTTGATGTTGACACTAAAGCCCTCACTGGATGAAGGGTCTTTATTGGGTGAAAAAAATCCTTAAGGTAAATCCATAACTAGTTTTTTAATAAAATGATTTTAAAACTTTTTTTAACCTAACAGCAAGGGTTCAAATGGAATCTTACTCTGAAACATCACCAGGCAAAATAACACTGCTGTGGAAGAACTAGAGTGTGCAGGAGGCTAGAGTAATACTATGTTCTCACCTCCAGGATCACCTCTCCTCTTGGTCAAATAAACTAACTCATGCTTCAAGAATCAGCTGGGTATCGCTTCTTTGGGGAAGATGTCTCGGAATCACCAAGGAGACAGATGTCAGCTATCCTATCCAACCCTCACAGTTCTCCATAGAAACTTCATCACATCTTGTATCACACTGCATTTTAACAATCTTGTGTATTCAGTCTTCCCTCTCCGACCAAAATCCTCTTAGTATGAAGTCTGAGAGCCAACCATTGTTCTTTCTCTTGTGCATTGTACAGTAGGACTTTGTATTGCTTACACTGATTTATCAATGCAATAGGGAGTACTTAAGGGTTTTAAACAGGGAATGACTTGATCAGAATTGTATTTTTTTTTTTAAAAGTCTCTAGTTTTAGAAGAAAAGTGGCTAGAGGAAGTAAAAATGAAAAACAAATGAGGAGCTGTTGCAGAAATATGAATAAGAGTGGATAGGCTCTAAAACTCACAAAATTAAGGGGGAAAGATATATAATAGTTAGACCACACTCAATTTAGACCACTATAGCAGCACAGGCCATGAACTCTTGTTACTGTAAGACAGAATAATAATAGGAACAAACATGTATCAAGCACCTCATGGGTCTACTAGCACTATGCTCTTTATTCAATCTTCCCTTTTCTACATCAAAACGTGGAAACCACATTCTCATCAACTTACCAAATTAATACCAAGGTCTGGAAAACTTTGCAATTATATACTCTGATCTGTGGCCAAGGAATGTATGATTGAAAAAAAAATCCACTTGAATTGCAAGCTAAAGAGTCGTTATGGAAAATATGTAACATAATATACATAAATGGCATACACTAAAGAAAAGCAAAACTGAAGAAATTCAACTAGCAAAGTTCTCCTAGGATTATTCGGTCACTTCACTAGCCAAAGAGATAATAGCATACAGATTGTACTGATCTCAGAGAAAGTAGTGGACATCAAGACTGGCTTGTAGACAACTTTCAAGCTGGGAACCAAACTCACGTGCATGGCTCATCTTTTAGCCAAACAACGGACAGACCTATAAAGCTAACAAGGCAGCATCAGGGAGTTGCACATTCCTTAGAATAACCAACACCAGGCAGTCAAAAGGGCAGTTTAACCAGAGATAAATCTCAGAAAACAAAAAGGGGGTGAAAGAGGAAAGGGAAAGGTAAACACAAGGAGGAAACTGCACGGGAGGTGTTACTGCATTGTAGGGATTGTTATCAAGGTCATGAATCAAAATGTATATTAACTGTTGAATAAAAAGTCAATTTTCTCCACAAACTTTCATTCAAATCACAATACAAAGTTACACAGACACCACACACACACACACACACACACACACACACACACAATCTTTTACACTGGTAGGTGAGAAAGGTTTTGCACAAGTCTCTTATAACCCTGTATATCTTGCTGGGTATGTTAGGAATACAAAGTCTACACCACTCTGGTTAGGCCATATCTCAGGTTTGTGTTAGAAGAAAGCAATTTTCAGGTATGAAGTAATAACTTCAGGGACAAAGAAGGCCTATTTAGTCCCCAGTTTCAGTATTCCTCAACTGTGGTACAAACTCAGTACCTGTACAGCATTCACGCAAACCTCTACATCACACTCAAGGAATCTGAAAGCCATACATACATATCCTTCATTTCTGACTCCTGTTCTCTATCAGCATCTATAAAATAGTACAGGATTAACATATAATACTTGATAGTAGCCAAAAGGTCGAAAAGCAATTGCACTAACAAGTTATCTAGAAAATCCAAGCACAATGCCATCAAGTCAGAATCAATAATAGCTATAAAAGAATAATGGCTGGCCCTGCAGTGAGATTTCTGGAGGCTGTAAGGCACACAGAAAGAGAAAGCCCATCCTTCTCCGTCAGTATCACTGGTGAATTCAAACCACCAGAGAGGCTCTTCCTTTGATTTGCAGTGTAACTCCCTGCGGGCTGAACCACAAGAGCTCCCTAGACAGTGAGAAAAATACCAGACTCTTCACAGTTCTTGACATATATTTGTCTTAAAACAATATAGAACATGAAAACATTCTAAAATAAGATATTCCTTTTATTATTTTTTTTTTCATTTATAAGAACAAACTGCACCCCCCCGTCGGCTCCTCTCCTTGAAAAGCAAAACTCCCTCACTGGTACACAATCCCCCCGTACCTCCCAAACCCCACCCCCAAATATAATCCACTCTGCAACCCTCATCGCGTACTCCTACGATAAAAATAAAGCCCTAAAATATAATACTTTTAGACTATTCTCTCCCCCATAGACTTCAATGCCATAAACATATTTCATCCAGTTTTTCTCAGCCTTACCCCAACCCCGATGCCACGTCATTCTACAACAGTGGCACCATATAGCATTTGTCCCTTTGTGACTGAGATACCTCACTCAGCATAATGTCCTCCAGGGTCACCCATTTTGAATAATATTGAATGAGTTCCTTGTTTTTCAATGCAGCATAGTATTCCATTGTGTAATCTCTTACTCTTTTCATTCCAGCTATTCCTAACTTGGGGGGGGGGGGAGGAAACACATACCATAAGCTATTTTCAGCTCTCACCCTCTGATTCTCCTTACTCTCCCTCAACCATTCACTTACAGAGCAACTTCCCACCTCCTAAGCTTTTCAACTGCCCTGATTCCCCTTAGGTAAAGTCTTACCTCTTTGTTCTCATCTCTATGCACTGTCAATAGAGAGACTGTGCTGTATTATATCCACAAGCTTATATATCTCTCTCCAACTTTACTGCCAGATTCTCAAAAAGGAAAAGTAGTATCTTACTTATTCTCATTTCCAGATCCTAGTAAAGTTATCAGGTCAACTGGAGATGCTCAGTAAATGTTTGCTGAGTTACATTTAACTAAAACATGACAGGTTTTGATTCTCAAAATTCACTGCCTCAAGTCAGAACTGACATATCTAACACTCCAGTGGGTTTTATTGAAACTGTAAGTCAAATGAGAGAATGCTGCCCATCTTTCTTTGCCTCACAGAGTAGCAGGTGTATCTGAACTGCTGGAGTTGTAGCTTTTGGGTTGGCAGTGCACTCTCAGGGACTATGTCACCAGAGCTACCATGTTTTTAACTAGTCGATACTATGAGTTAATTTTTACTTTTACCAACTAACTCCATGTGAGAAAGAAAGTACCAAGTACAAACATCTATTTTTCTAAGCCATCATTTTTAAGTGAGCAGATCACCACTCTTTCTCCCCCAGAGCAGAAAGACAGGTTTGGATCACAAATATTTCAGCTAATAGGTCAGTGCTAACTGCTGTTGTTCCTAGGTGCCTATGACTCATAGATCAAAACCCTGTCCTATCCTGTGTCATCCTCAAAATCTCTGCCATGCTTAAGTCCACTGTTGAAGCCACTATGGCAATCCATCTCACTGGAGGTGTCTAAAGAGGAGATATTGGGACAAAGAAGGATGGGGCCATGAGTGTCTCTCTAAAAGGGCCACACAGTGTAAGAACAGTACAGCCACTCACTCTCCCAGAGCAGAGAGGAGATAAAGACACCGTAGCCTACCTACCCCATGATGCCTTTAGAAGGCATAGCAGCAGCAAGAGGCTTGTTTATTCATAGCTGACTCATAGTTATGGTACCAACAGTGGGGTTTACTAGCAAAGGAAACTGGAGAATGGGGGAGGCAAAGAATACTAAAGCAAATCCAAGTTTTAGTCCACCAGTCCCAAGGCACAATTTCCCAATTAGTCCAGGCTCTAGTTTCAGTTTGGCAGGCAAATCCAAAGCCTCCAGCAAGGTTTGCCTCAGAGCAGTTTCAAGTCAGCTTCTCTTTCATGCACTGTGGCCAGCACAAATTCAGGACACCTCAGGTCACACTTTGTCACAGTTTCTCTACAGCAATGTCACAATCTCTCCACCACTATCACCAGGGTCTCACTCTCACCAGGGTCTTGTTCCAATCTTCCTCAAGTCTTCCCACCATAAATCTTGCTTGACTCAAGTCTTGCTCCCCAAGCAAGAAGCTTGGGGAAGCTCTCTTTCTCTTATTCTAGTCCCACAGCTGTTGATAATTTGCAAGACAATGTGTCTGTAGTTAAGGTAGCTGAAGACCAGGTACAGCTAACTGTAATGGCTTTTAAAAAAAAAGCCAACTTCTAGGTTAATACCACAGTGCTAACTGCTGTTGTTGCTAGGTGCCTATAACTCATAGATCAAAACTCTGTCCTATCCTGTGTCATCCTCAAAATCTCTGCCATGCTCAAGTCCACTGTTGAAGCCACTGTGCCAATCCGTCTCATTGGAGGTGTCTAAAGAGGAGAAATCAGGACAAAGAAGCATGGGGTCATGGGTATCTCAGAATTGGTGGCTCCAGACAACATACCCAAACATGTGAGACAAAGATGACCCCCTACTTTTCCAAGTATTATGTCTTTTTCTAACAACTGGTGGCTCCAGACAAAATACCCAAACATGTGAGACAAACGTGCTCAATCTTTGTCTCTAAGGAGCACCCTACTTGCACTTCTTCCAACAACATTGACTCTTTTACCTTTCAGTTAATCCATACAATACTCAATACTCTCTGCCAAAAGCTATCTATTCTTTAGTTTTTCTTATTCATTATCTAACTTTCATATGACTATGAAGCAATCAAAATAACAAGGCTTGGGTCAGGGTTATCTTAGTCTTTAAACTGATATCTTCGCTCTTTAGCACTTTAAGAGGTCCCAGACAGCAGATTTCCCAAGGCAACACATCTTTTTCATTTCTTGACTGCTGCTATCACAGGAAATAAAAAGAAATCCCTGACAACTTTAAATCTTTTCATCATCTATCACAATCTTGCATTTTTCTTCATATTTAGATATAATCCATACTGAAGGCTGCAGTCATTGATATTCCTTACTAATTGTGTCAAGATTTCTTCACTTTCTCAAGCAAGGTTAGTCATCTACATAATGTAGGTTGGTGATAAGTCTTCTTCCAATCCTGAAACCACATTCTTCTTCCTGAAGTACAATTTCTTTATTTTTAAATGATCCCCTTAAGCCAAAAAAAATAATTTCCATACATAACATAGAAAAACCACTAAAACATTTTCTATCACCATATTTCCTTGATGTTATAACATCACTTCTGCTGTAAGTAAAGAACTTTAAGTCCCAACTCAAAGGCAGGCAATTTGAATCCACCAGCTGCTCTACAAAAGATTTCCTCCCATGCGATTTACAGCCTTTGAAAACCCACTGGAAGGTTTTCTATGAGTTGGTTCCAACTCCACAGTAATGACAGACACCTTAGTCCCAGCACCATTCCATTGCAAAGGAGTTCAATTCTGACTCATAGCAACCCTTCAGGAGAGAGCAGAACTGCTCTGTTGGGTTTCCAAAGGACCTCTGGTGATGTGCTGGACAGCTAATCAAAAATTCAAGAACAAAAATCAATCATCTCCTCTGAGGGAGAAAATGGGCCATTTCCTCCGAAAAGATTTACAGTCTAAGACTGCCAATGGAGCACCACCATGAATCACAATTAACAGTGGTTTATCAGGCATCCAAGTTTGCAAATCTTTTAAGACACAAACTACTGAATCTTTCTCCCACAGAGCAGTCAGTGGGTTTGAACCAATGATCTCTCAGTTTACTGCAAAATGCTTAGCCACTGTGCCACCCAGACTCCTAAATAAGTCCTAAAGATGAGCCTAAATAGTTGCCTTAAAGGATTAATCTCAATTCCAAATGCTAAATAAGAAAGGAAACTAAACAGATAACCAAAGAATATATTTTCATATACATTTTAAGCAAAACTCACCCACATGAAAATAAATAAAATCTCCTCATACCTGTCACACTGCTGCATTATGGAAATTTCTTTGATGATTTCCTGAAGATCTGATTCAACAGGCACTTGTTTAATAGCCACAACTTGACCAGATTCCTTATGTATTGCTTTAAATACACTTCCATAAGACCTAAAAGAAACCAAGACATTTTCCATCAAATATTTTAACTCTTAGGCGAAAAACGGAGTTTCGTCTGTAGTTTTTCACACTACCACTAACAGATGCTGTAGAGTTTACTGCAACTTATAAGACCCTGTGTATTACAGACTAAAAGTGTGCTTCACAGAAATTTAAAGTGATCTTTCAGAAACATATCACTACATCTCTCTTTCAAGGCACTTTTGAGTGGATTTGAACTGCCAATCTTTCAATCAGCAGTCAAGTGTATAATCATTTACACTAACTAGGATGCCTTTTAGTTGAAAATACAATTTAAATAATAAAAATCAAAGTTAATAATAGAAAAGTTCATCATTTTCACTATACTGCTTCAATTATACTTGAAATCTACTAAAATTATCAAGCTGATACATGATTTGCTTGTATTTTTCTTATGAATGAAAGAAATAGACTTACGTTTTGTCAACTCAAACAAATGCAGCATTAAGAAGATATAAATGGAAAATAAAAGAGTGAATGTTGATTAATAATAGCCAAAGTCTGAGGTCAGGAGAAAAAAGACTGACCTCATTTTAAGCAAAGACACTATCACAATTAAAAAGGTCACATTTTTGTTTAGAACATTTAAATATAATTGAAACTTTCATCTCAAGGATCCTATAACACCAAAATTAACAAACTAGGATCCTTCCATTTACTTAAGCCTTTTCAAATGTTCCTTTTCAAATGTTCTACAAGAACAAAATCACACACTCATAAATAAATCAGTGATAATAAACCCTTATCTAAAAATCATCTCTGCTATAAATCTTGAAATGTGGCCTAGGAAATATTTTTTTAAAAAAATAAATAATCAGGGAGAAAGCCATTTATACTTTAGCATGAATCAGAAGACAAAGTAAGAATTGCTATCACCTAGTCAGTGATTATTAGAAGTCAAGAACTATACAAAATATCTTCATATATGCATGATCATATTCAATCTTCTCATTCATGGGGTAAAATACCATTACTGCCATATAAGTGTGAGGAAACAGAGGCTCAGACATCAGTAACCAGCAAGGCAAGAATTCAAATATATTCTGATAACAAATATCATTCTCTTCTCACTACACTATTTCTACAGAAAAGAAAGAAGAGTAAGTCACTGGGAGAATGTTCACACTCACAACCTTTCAAAATAAATGAAAAAGTATTAAGTAACTACTTTAATATTTTTATGCTATCCTCTGCTTTTGGGCTTTCTGAAGTAATTTCACTGCATCTGATATTCAAAGTCACTTTTATACAGGTATTAATATATACATAAATTATATACATACTATATATGTTATGTGTATATACACACGCATACAAATGCACAAGACATGCTTAGCATCTTAATTGAATTCTGACCTCAATAACGATGTTGTGTATCAATGAATCGAAAGCAAGTCTTAGCTGACCCTCCAGGGGATTTTCCAAAGCAGTAATTTGTATGGGAGGAGACTGTCCACCTTTTCTCTGTGGCATTCTGAACTGTTTACCTTTGGGTTGGCAGCACAACTACTTAGCACTAAGTCACCAGAGTTCTCTAGATATTAATTAAAACCTACATTAAATGAGATGTCTAGTAATTTTCAATATACATTAAAGGGTAATCAAAGATTCAAGAAGATGAAGTCATATTATATGTAACCTGTACACTCATCTGTTACATTCCCAAGGAGGTTCAGAGAATACTCCTTCAAAAAAACAAAACAGGTCTATAAAATGGGCCAGGGATCGTAACTAGAGATGACACCATTGAAAGAGGTTCCCTAAATTCAACAGCTGAGAGAATTCAGGAAAGAAACAAAAAAAGATGTGGTGACATCTAGCAACCTGAGAAAAGGAAAAAATGGTTATCGTTAATGAGTAGCAAAGTAAAGCTATAGTATTCTGGTTTTAATGCTAAAGTCATAGTGGCTTCAAATAAAATAAGTGCAATTATTTTTGTCTTTTAAAGACTGAATAAAAGTCAACTGATTTCTTTCCCCCCCTTCTTTTTCTTACTTAATAAGACACGCTTAATATAAAATTCATCACTTTTATTATTTACATGATTCAGTAGTGGTGTTGTTGTTGTTATGTGCCGTGTTGTTATGAGTCGCTTGCGACTCATAGCGACCCTATGTACAACAGCCTTAAACCCTGCTCTGTCCTCTGCCAACTGCACTGTCTCAGATACAACCATCCCAACTGCCCTAGTCACTAAATCAATCCACCTCATAGAGGGCCTTCCTCTCCTGCGCTGTCCCCTCCACCCTCCCAAGCATGATGTCTCTTTCCAAGGGCCGGTCCTTCCTTACAACATGTCCAAAGTATGTTACACAGAACCTCAGAATCCTTGCTTCCAAGGAGCCGCCCGGTTTAACCCTTTCCAAGATGCATCTGTTTGTTTTCGTAGCAGTCCACGGTACATTCAATACTCTTCTCCAGCACCACAGTTCAAAGGCATCAATTCTCCTTCTATCCTCCCTAGTCACTGTCCAACTCTCTGATGCATAACAAGTGATTGCAAAGACCATGGTCTGTATCAGATGTACCTTAGTCTCCAGAGAGACACCACTGCTCTTCAGTAGTATTTAACATATTCAAGATACTGTGCAACCAGCACCACCACATAGTTCCAAAAGAGCTGCTCATCACCCGAAAGAAAGAGTCATACTTATCTGCCAGTCAATTCAGCATCATGAAACGTCACTAGAGCCTCATATGTATCTTTAGATATCACATATTTTCACTAAATATTTATATGTATATAGTCAAATTCACTGATTATGTTTGATCCCTCTAAGATTTTTTAAATATTATATTCATTCATTTCTGAAGGAGATATATTGAAACTTCACATACTGTTATACTTTTATTAGATTCCTCTGACATTTCTAGTAGGTTTTCTTCATAAATTTAGCTGCCATGGAACTACTTGTTATTGTGATGTGTTAGTGAGTGTGACTTACAGAAACGCTATCCACAATAGCTCTAAACTCTGCTTTATCCTGAGCAAATCTCACTGTTTCTGGCATATTCACCCTCATTTTCCCAGTTACTGTATCTATAGGCTTGATTACAAATGAAATTTCACAGCATTATCTAATGGCACAGACTGTCCAGTTCTTTCAGCCTTTACTCATTTATCTGACAAAAATATTTCCATTCCTGCTTTCTTTTTGGCTTGGTGTTTTTTCGTTTGTTTTTTTTTGGTGGGGGGTGGTAGCTTTCCTAGTCATTGGTTTTGACTTTCGCATGGTTGGTGAAACATGCTAAAAAAATGATCAAGCACCTTTTCAGTGGGAACATGTAAACAAGATATGAACACTACAACTGAGGCCATGCCACTTGGCTCTTAAATTGAGGAGGTTAAGAAACAGAAAAGAAGAATGTCACTTTCAGCAAGAAAGAAATGAAGAAGAATCCAGTGCAAGCATGATCATTTGAAGGAAAGATTCCAGTGCAAGTTGGACCAGGACTTAACAAGAGCTGTAGCAGCAGCGTCAGTGAACCAGAGACCCATATAGGAGAGAGCTAAAAGAAGAAGACTGCCTCACAAAGACAGAGTCAGAGACTTCATCCAAGTTTGCTGGACGAGTTGGGGAAAACATCATAACTGACAAAACTAACTGAGCTTTGTCTGAACATTTGTTTAAAGCTGCAAGGTCCCAAGCACACTTGAGAAACTGTCATGCCTGAAGAACTGTATCCTGTTTCCAACTTGAATTATAACCTGCTAACTACCCTAACTAACTACTCCTGTAAGAGTGAGTAAGATCTGTGAGTTCTGTGTAGCCACTGCAACAAACTGGCAGACACAAGAGTAGAGCAGTGAGAAAGAACTCTGGGAGGGAGGGTTGTGTTAGAATTAATAGACATAGGTGCAGGAACATCTCACTTCACAGGAACTGTTTTTGTGCTGTGGTTGTTATTAACAGAAATTGTTGTCCCGTGTGGCATTAGTGGAGGGCAGATGTCACTGTCTGTAAGTCAACATTCAGTTTACAAATTTATCTCTTTCTTCAACTCTGAATTTCATGTTTGCTTTTACACAGCCTCTTCAAAAAAATGGGAGCATTGGTGGTCTAGTGGTAAGAAACTGTACTGCAATCCTAAAGGCATGTGGTTTGAATCATCAGCTACTCTGCAAGAGAAGTAGCATGGGCAGCCTCCTTCTGTGTGATTTGTTTGTTGCTGTTGTTGTGAGCCATCAAGTCGCCTGCAACCCATACGGACCCTAGGTACAGCAGCTCTGAACTGCCCTGTAGTGAGCCAGTCTCACTAATTCTAACACACCAACCCCTAATGTCCCAGTTACTGTATCAATCCATCTCATCTGGGGTCTTCCTCTCCCCTTCCAAGCATGATGTCCTTCTCCAAAGACTGGTCTCTCCTGGGCACATGCCCAAAGAATGTGAGATGGGAGCTCCAAAATCCTAACCTCCAAGGAGAAACTTGGTTTCATCCTCTCTACAACAGACGTGTTTCCTTGGTAATATGTTCAAGACTATTCTCCAGCACCACAACTCGAGGCATCAATTATTCTTCTATCATTCTTAGTCATTGCCCAGCTCTTTGACACATAGCAAGTAATTGTGAAGACCATGGACTAATTAGGTGCACCTCAGTCGCATCATTGCTTTTCAGTACTCTGGACAGATCCCGAACAGCAGATTTTCCCAATGAAATCTGTCTTTTGATTTCGTGACTGCTGGTGTTAAGACTGTTGACTGTGGAGCTGAGCAAGCTGTAATTATTAAGAACCTCAATCCCCTTTCCATCTATCATGGTGCTGCCAGTTGGCCCAATGGTGAGGAACTTTGTCTTTTTGAAACCCAATGGAGGGCCAGGTATGGGTGAATTCCAACTCAATAGCACACAACAACTTATAAAAAGTATATACTAGGTTTTGTATTTTAATCCAATCTAACAGCTTGTCTTTTAACAGAAGAACTGATATTTAGTGGGAAGTTTATTTTATTCCTTTTTTATTTTATTCCTTTTATCTTATATTTAGCTTATCATTTTACATTTTCTGTATTTCTTTTTTCCTTGTTCTTGCTGATTTGACCTATGGTATACAGTCGACTCTTGCTATTTGCAGTAGCTGTGTTCTATAAAGTCACGAGCAACACAGCAGTAGTGAATATTGAACAAGGTTGTTCAACTGTGAGTGAATCAAGTTTTTCACTGTTCTATGTATGTCCATGAATGACTGAGAATGCACTGAATGCCGAATTGAGAGGTGAAATAAATTTTAGCAAGTAACTGGATACCATACTCGTATGTTATTGTTGCTGTTATATTCCATTGAGTCGCCTGCAACTTACAACTCACGGCGACCCTATGTACAGCAGTCCTGAAGCCAGCCCTACAAATTTTTCATGATTTTGGAAGCTCTAGTTTATTCTGAAACTCTATTAAATACTCCTTATACTCAAAATAACACATTTCTCCACTATAACAATGAAAGTATAACAATTATTCTTCTACCAATGCAATGATTTCCTTACTGAAACACTTTATTTCTACCTATTAATCACTTTCCACAAATCAAATAAGATTCACATTCTTAAAAGATGTAAATAGGCCTTACATTCACATAACCTAAAAAGTCAAAATCTTTCAAACTTATAATTTCTTGTAAGTACATAAGGATGTTATACAGGATAAACTAATTAATAAACCTCTTGGAAATTTTACAGCCTCTTTTTTGGCTTCTTCTTACCTGTTCTTCATCTCACACATTTTCCACATATTGTTATTAGAGGCCAGTCCTTGGGGAAAGACACTAAAAGGTGGCGTTTACCAAGGAATATCCTCAACAATATGAACTGACACAGAGGCTGTATCAATGAGCTCAAGTATATCCGAGATGATGAGGATGGCATAGTACAGGGCAAGGTGCAGATCTGTTATTCACAGGTTTGCTTTGAGTCATAGTCACTCAACAACACCTAGTAACAACAACAATACGGCCTTACGGGACGTTTTGGTGGCACAGTCCATCGGGTATTTAGCTGTTAACCCCAAGGTCATGCCCCTGTGGGAGGCACCTGACAAAAAAAATGAGTACTCTCCTCCCAACTGATTTAGTTTCAAAAAACCCAATGAGAAGGTTTGAGTGGGTGGGTTCTACTATGGGGGGGTTCTGGCTAGGGCAATGAGTAAGTGAGTGTGATGTAGTCTATGTCTCTAAGAATCACTGTTATTGTATCTACCATTACAGCTGCTACAAAGTATCCTAACTGAAATTGCTATTGCCACAGTTTTGGAACTAATGCAGGCATCCAATGTATGCTTGCAAACCATGCTTTCCCTCCAGTCTGTTATGCAATTTTTTTACAATATTTTAAAACAAAAAACATATGGAGGCTTTTATGAAAATATCACCTAGTAAAAGGAAAAACAAACACAGAAGCTACTTTTTATGTGTAAAAATATGGTGCTATTCACTTCAATCAAATGTATTCTAACTGGAAGATTAATATTTTTAAGTGGCTTTTGTCATTATGTGAATCTGACGCATTTATTTTGTACTTACCCTTCTCCAAGTTTCTCTAACACATCAAAAACCTCTTCAGGCTGCTTAGTCAAACTGTCTTCACTCAGTTTTTTTAGTTTACTGATAACAGAAAAAAGAGAAAGTATCTTTTAGACATTTTATAAAATTTTTAATTTCTTTCTAATAGGCAATATATTCAGATGATTCAAAATCTAGTGAGAGAAGTTAATAGTTTTTAGTCTCATTCTAATCTCCATCCTCTATCTGCCCTGTTCCATCCAAATTACCACTTTTCTTAGCTACTTAGAAAATTTTCCTGCAACTATGAATGTACATTCCTATTTCTCTCCCTTTTTAACACACAAGTATACAATTATTATGTACTTTTCAATTCCTTGTCTTTATACATCAGGACATATTTGCTGTTCTTAGTTGTAATCAGGACTAGCACATATGCCTGTGGTAGTCTATCTTACTGTTTACCAGACATACAGAAGGATCTTCATTTTATTTTTGTTTGTTTGGAATTATGTTTTGTTTTGATATTGTTCTTTTAAAATCCTATACATGTAAGGGAGGTGCAGATATTTGGAAATCAGAAGTGAGAGAGATTATGTATGGTGTGTGTGACAAAACAAAAATAATTTACTATGTAGTGAGGATAGACAAGGGAGGTGAATTTAAAATATGGATGCATAGAATATTATAGTGGCAGAGCTGGGGACGAATGGAGAAACAACTGCTCAAAATATTACAAATGTAGAATAAACAGGAAGTGCTCCTGATAAAATAAGAAGTGATGAAGAGATGAGCCCTTGTAGTGCAATAGATAAAGTGTTCTACTGCTAACTAATAAAGAATTCTTATCATTTAAAATAAGAATCTCATCATTAAAAACAATTGAACACACACACTTTCCTGTTGTGGCAGACACAACAAGCACACTCTTGATTTCTTGTCTTTTTAAAATAGAAGCTCACCATAAAAATAATTATTTTAATTACTGATCAAAAAAATGTCATTGGCTGAGTGCCTTTAGAGCAAGCACCTTCTGTGACATAAAGAGATTATGGAACTTATGAAATAGTCTTTTTAAAATAACTGTTAATACAATCTATCTTTCCTGTCATTTGTCTTTCCAGCTCAGAAATAAAGAATATAATAATCTCTTAAAATACTGTACTGCACTTGTTAATACACTGGATCAAAGGCAAACTTCCACATCATTCGTCTCACTTTTTCTTGTATTTTCCTACGTGCACGTGCATGCATATAATGAAAATATAAGCAACAAAACATATTCCATTTTAAAAACTTCTACATGTATAATTCAGTGACATTAATTACATATTCTTCATACTGTGCAACCATTTTTGCTATCCTTTTTCAAACTATTCCACTACCATTAACAAATGCAATGCTCCCTAAGCAAATATCTTCCTTTTCCCCCAAATTCATGATATCTGAAGGCATCTCTGAGTGGATTCAAATAGCAAACGATTTGGTTAGTAGCCAAGCATTTAACCAATCAAACCACCCAGGGACCTTCATACTCACTACTACACATTGCCATTGAGTCGGAACCATCTCATAACTGACCCTCTAGGTAACTCTAGTGGCTTAGAGATAAGGAGCTGCACTGCTAAACCATAGGCACAAGGTTCAAATCTGCCAGCTGCTCTTCAGGAAGAAGATGGGCAGTCTCCCTTCATTATATTTACTGCCTCTGAAAACTGGGCTTAAGGATCAGCTATGAGTCAGTTCTGACTCAACGGAACATAATAACAAGAAGTCACACAAGAGATTGCCTATCTTTCTCCCAGGAAGCCATGGTGGATGTGAATGGCCACAGAGGTGTGGTCTTTGGGTCAGAGGTGCAACTTCTTTCCAAGCCATAAAAATCAAACTCTATTCTACTTCAACACAAGGGAAGTACATTTTATCTCAATCTAATATAATATCATTTTCTTCTGCTCCTCTTGGCTATTGTTAAAGGACCAAATAGTTTTCTAAGTGTTTACTATTAAAGCAAAGAGTCTGAGTTTTTAAAAAAATCCTCAACAGAAAGGTCCAAGTGAAAGTTGTCCTTTTATCACCTTGGAAAGTTGTACGTGTTTACAAAAGACAATGACAACAACAGCCAAGTTTCCGAAATACTTTGAGAACTATCTTCAGAGACAATTTTTTCTTCATTAAAGCTAAAGTAGACTGTCCACCTTTCTCCTAAGAATTCACTAGCGGATTTAAACTACCTGCCTTTAGGTCACCAAAGGCCCTTACCATTAGGCCACTAGAGCAGCCTATTCTGAGACTGAGAAAAACTAAATAATCTGCCAACTAATGCACTGCTCTGATGCCCCAGAAGAAGCTGCTGCACTAGAATACCAAACACATGTGGTTCGAATCCACAAACTGTTCTGAGTTGACAACAAACAACATACCGCAGCAGAGCTGAGATTAGAGCCAAGGTCTATCTGACTCTAAAATAAACTTTTTAGGAGGTAGGGAGGAAAATGTACAACAATGAAATGAATGAAAATCCAATTTTTCTGTAAACTTTCATTAAAATCACAATTTAAAAAAAAAAAACTCAAAAAATAACAACAAAAAAATTAACTCTTACTTGTTTTGCTACTTAGTATCACAGTTTTAAGAGTAGAAATAACTTGATGATCTGATAATATAGTCAGCACTGCAGAATTAGACTAAAATTTAAGGAGTTTTAGTTAATTACTTGCACTGAAATAGCTTAAAATTCACCTAAGAAAATATATGATCTATAATGAGACATGATCAAAATTAAATAAACATCTTGTTTTTCCTCAAGTCTATCAAAATGTTTCCTCTCAAGTTGGGCTCTTAGCCCAAAATACTCTAAAATTATCATTTCCTGATAAAGTGCTTTAAAGGAAAATAAGCTGGTTTTGTCTTTTCCATTCACCCACAGAATCTTTCATTTTTATTTTATAAATATTTTCTACTTATGATCAACTGAAAAGTGATGATTCTGATAATGATTCATTTTAGTATCTTTAATATAACAAAACTAGGTTGCAAAGCTTAAAAATGCTGCAACAAACAAAACATCTCTAAAGACCTATTACTTCATTCTCATGTATTAAAATAATAATTTTTAAAAACAAATCAATCAAGAATATAGAGGCAACATAAAGCAGCACACTTGAAAATGCTACAAAAATATTTATGTCCTTCTAAAATCAGCCCAGGTGTTCCTTTGAGACAAGGATGATGAAACATCATTTCACAGACCTTACGCACGCATATTGTCAGGAGGGATCAGTGCTTGGTAGAGATATCATGCTGAAAAAGGTGGAGAGGAAGATCTTTGCGGTGTCAAGAGATTATTGCTCAAAATGGCTTTCCTAGCCACTGGCTTTGACTTTGCCACATGGACGGAAGGGATCATACAAAGTGTGTTAGTCTATCCAAAAAGAGGACTGGCTAATCTTGTCATCCTACTTGAGTGGTTTCATTAGCATTAATTGGGAATCTCAACTCCAACAAGGACGAGAAAGTAGTGTGTGTCCTCCTGGGCCAGAGATTCCTACACCAGTCAGACCAAGATCTACACAAGAGAAACAACAGTCTCAGCAGGAAACCAGAGACCAACAGAAGACAGAGCTAACTAGAGACTGCTTCCCACGGAGCCAGAGCCAGAGGTCTTCACCCAAGATTTCTGGAAGACTGAGGGAAGATGCCATAACTGACAGGACTTTGTAACAAAGACCTAACCCATGAGGCTGAAGGTCTAAGGGTCTGTGACCATGCTAGGGAATTTATCTGGACTGAGGGACTGGATCTTCCAGCCAACATGAACAACAGCCTATTAACTTCCCTAATAAAGTTCATAACTGTGAGTATGGTTCTGTAAAGTCTGTGTAGTCACTGCAAGACATTTTAGTCCTAAAAGAGCTGTAAGATTGGTGTTGGAATTAATAGAAGCAGGTATAAGAACTTTAAAGATCATGTCTAACTGTAATTAATTTTATATTGTGGAAGTTACTGACAGGCACAGTTCCCCTTTGTGTAGTTAGCAGAAGTCAGACTCGGCCATCCCCACACTGCCTATACTCTTTTTACAATCCTCAGCAAGAAGGACTGACACAGTGACTGTAACAATGGACTCAAGCATATCAGATATGGGAGTATGATGTAGGATAGGGCAGGGTTGAGATTTGTTTGTTGTTCATAGGGTTGCTACGAGTCATACACAACTCAACAGCACCTAACAAGAACAAAATAAAAATTAAAATTATTTTATAAGAAATATACATATACCTCAGAAGCTCATGTATTTTTAATCCAGTTTATTATCAGTATTTTTAACAACTTAAAAGTTCGATAGCTTTAAAGGTCACAAAATCTTTAAATCTATTAAAATAAACGTGGAAACTTATATACAGAACATTCCAAATTCTACCTATAGCCAAGGCATATAGACAGATCCACTGGCATGGAGCAAAGACACTAGCTATATTTAAAAAAATAAATAGATTCATTCAGAGGTTTTTATCTATCTATATCTCCATAAACTTCAAATTCCAAAGATAAAATATAAAGATTTAGATCTATACTCTCACAACTCTCCATAATAACCCCTAGCGGAATACCAGAGTCAACTGCAAAAACACCAAACATAACAAATATGTAACTTCAAAGAAGGCCTAACTTTGATAATGTTAAAATGTACATCATTCTCTAGGTTCTGTACTGTTTAATTTTTATGGGCTTTCATAAACAGACAAGGGGGTGGAGGTGGTAGCTATTACCGGCTTTTGGCACTGATGGACATTTTTATGCTTGATTTATTAGTAGTTTAACTAGCAGTTTTTCTCCACATTTCACTATGATTCTTTGAAAATAAACTGAGGGGAGGAGACTGAATTTGTTGCTTTCTAGAAAATAATTTTTAATTGATTTTTTATTTCTTATTTTTATGACTCATATACATTGTTTCATGCACACACACTGTATTTTATACAATATTTCATTTACAGTGAGTTTTGTTTATGTATATTTGTATATAGTGGGGTGTCTTTTCCTCCTTACAGTCATCTTACTAATTTTAGGAATTATTTTTGTAAATGAAAATAAAATCT